GCAGGTGAAAACTAGCAAGGCAGCTGGTGTTGACAGAGTCCCACCTGAAATATGGAAGCATGGAGGCCAAGCACTTCATGCTAAATTCCATGAGCTAGTTGTGTGCTGTTGGGAACAAGGCAAAATACCATCAGACTTTCGTGATGCAATCATCGTCATTCTGTATAAGAAAAAAGGTGTGAAGTCAGACTGCTCAAGCTACCGTGGTATAACTCTGCTCTCCATTGCTGGTAAAATTCTTGCAAGAATACTATTGAACAGACTAGTACCTGCTATCGCAGAAGAACTTCTACCTGAAAGTCAGTGTGGCTTCAGAGCTAATAGAAGTACCACAGACATGGTATTTGTTCTCAGACAACTGCAAGAAAAGTGTAGAGAACAGAATAAGGGGCTATATGTAACTTTCGTTGACCTCACCAAAGCTTTTGACACTGTGAGCAGAAAAGGCCTGTGGCTGATCTTGGAACGATTAGGTTGTCCCCCCAAGTTCCTCAAAATGATTATTCTGTTACATGAGGATCAGCAAGGCCAAGTCAGGTATGGTGATGCACTCTCTGAGCCTTTCCCAATAACCAATGGTGTGAAACAAGGTTGCGTTCTCGCACCGACTTTATTCACAATTTTCTTCAGCATGATGCTCCAAAGGGCTACAGCAGACCTCGATGAACAAAACGGCATTTATATTCGATATCGTACTGATGGTAGCCTATTCAATCTAAGGCAACTGAAGGCCCACACTAAGACCCTAAACCATCTTGTCCGTGAACTGCTCTTTGCTGATGATGCCGCCCTTGTTGCCCACACAGAAGCAGCTCTGCAGCGTTTAACATCTTGCTTTGCGGAGGCGGCTGAGGTTTTTGGGCTGGAAGTCAGCTTGAAGAAGACAGTAGTCCTCTACCACCGCAAGAAGATTATCGCCATCCCCATATTACCATCGGCGAGTCAGAGCTTAAGACAGTTCAGCAGTTCAGCTATCTGGGAAGCATCATTTCCTCGGATGCCACGATCGACAAAGAGATAGACAACAGAATAGCAAAGGCATATAGAGCCTTTGGAAAACTCCATAAAAGAGTCTGGTGTAATAAACACCTGAAGAAAAGTACAAAGATCAGTGTCTACAGAGCCATTGTATTGTCTACTCTTTTATATGGGTCTGAATCATGGGTCATCTACCGTCATCACCTGCGACTCCTCGAACGCTTTCATCAGCGCTGCCTCCATACAATTCTAAACATCCATTGGACTGACTATGTGTCTAATGTCACTGTCCTCGAACAGGCAGGGGTCACCAGCATCGAGGCCATATTGCTGAAATTGCAGCTGCGCTGGGCAGGGCACGTCTCTAGAATGAAGGATCACCGCCTCCCCAAGATCGTGTTTTATGGTGAACTTGCCACCGGTAGCCGCAAGAGAGGTGCCCCAAAGAAGAGATATAAGGACTCCCTGAAACAATACCTTAGCCTTGGCCATATTGACTACCATCAGTGGTCCACCTTGGCCTCCAATCGGGAGACTTGGAGGCACACCATACATAATGCCGTTGACTCCTTTGAGAGTTCACGAAGAACTAGTCTCGAGGAGAAAAGACAACGCAGAAAGAATTGCGCCCCACCTGTACCACCCAAGGAGACCTTCTGCTGTGCTTTTTGTAGCTGAATTTGCCTATCCTACATCAGCCTTCTTAGCCATCAGCGTGCCTGTAGTGTGGGCAAAGCCCTTCCTAAATCTTCATTTGCGAAGTCAAGCCATGATGATGATGGTGTTGCAAGAAGCTTCTCAATATAAAACCAAGCAAACAGGTCTTGTAAAAATGAACATAAAATTAAAAATGAAAAAAATCCACAAATGTTTCCAAGTTCTCAAAGACAAATAGAAGAGCTGGTTAACACAAGGGGAACTGTCTATTTCTTTTGATAATTTGAAGCCCTTAGATCCTCTTGTGCAGCCAGCCAGCATTTGTTCCTCTTCAACAAGGTCCTTGAACAGATTTCCATAAAACACTAATTCAGCTTCTGTAACTTTAGACAGATTATAAACATATAAAGCATCCTAAAGGGCAGTGAGAACCAATTAAACGTCTTCTTACCATCATAACTAAACATAAGAAGTTGGGGGGAAGTACAAACACTAGAGATAAACGACCAAAGGAAAAGCTTCATTGCAGCATTCATCAAAGACAGGCTAGAATGTCCAAAATTACATGAATCCTCATGGTAAAATCAGGCTGCTCTCACAAGAGATATCTTATATGAACTGATCCATTTTCACCTTTGCAAGATTAAAAAGACCTGTTCTATTCTTTCTAATGCAGGTTAGACTGCAATTTAATCTACCTGGAGACAAGTGTAACCACGACAAAGAAGCTGAAGCTGTGAGTAAATCTTCAACAAGGAAAGCTGACATGGTCAAAACATGAATGTGCTTTAACGAGCTCTGTTACTTTCTAAAATACATTCATATCAACTTATTAAGCCTAATAGCTGTTGATTTTTTACCTCTAAGAAAATCTCATACTTCATGACACTGCAGTACTGCAAAACGCCAAACAGATTAAAATATCAAACTACATTTGGCTTCTCTGACAGCATGCTCTGTCAAGACCCAAATCAATCTGCTTTGGCAAGGAACCGCCGAATCTATGGTCCTACCCCAGTCTATTCATACTCAGCTGAAAATATAATGCTCAAGGTTAGGGTCTTGCTTAAGTATGTCTTCAATAATCATTTCAGTATCTTCCCTCCTCTACAGACCTATAAGAAAAGAAAAAAGAAAAGCCTCCACAATTCCAGGATATAAAAATGATGCTGAGAATACTTGCAGAAAGTTTTTTCTCATGTTTAAGTTCTAAGACAACAAGGAACCCCAAAATGCAAAACTGATTCTTGGTTTTGGCAGCAATAAGATTCAGTAAAATTTATTACTACCTAGAAAATTATAAAAAGACAAACCTTCCACCTTCCTTGTAGAATGGTTTTCACATCTACTATCTGCCAGATTACAGAAGATTTTCAATGCTACTGTAGACCAATCTGTTTCAAGACATATCTGCTTAGAGACATGATCCAGCTTCACCTGACAGGAATGCATTCAGAGAATGTATATATTGTATATACTATATAGACATATTTGTAATAACCAAAACTAAGAGATTTGTTTTTTTCAGGTACCCCCTTAAATGGCTACAAAGGAATTTGAGATCCAGTCAAGAAATAACAGTTCTATCTACCTACATAATTTGAAAAAAAAAAAAAGAATTTCCTAAGACAAAATTTTAGAAGACATCCATCCCTTTTACCAGTTAGCCCCTCAAAAATAGTAATAAAAAGATTTAAACATGCCCAGAAATTGTCAACATTCAAGACACTCAAGTAAAACAGCTGCTAGAGGAATACCCCGGATTGTCTCACATGTCAAAGGTTTCCCTTTCTTCAAGTCATCTGCAATGAAAATAAACTGGATTCCTCTTCCTTCTCTTCACACGAGATTAAGGGTCCATGCCAACCTATAGCTAGGTAGCTCTTCAGTGCAAATCTCACCTTTCAAGTAAGCCATCACCTTCTCAACACAGAAGGTTGTAACATCTAATTGTAATCACTGTAACATCTAATGACACATACAGAATTTTTGAAAATTAGTATCTATTTAAGAAAGAAAAGAAAAGCAGAGTGCAGAAGTGTTTATTATTAGAATACTGTGAAGTGAGAACTTTGATGTCTGACTGCAGTCCCTCTTGATTTCCTCTTCTGATGCAACTGAAATCATTAACCATTTTGCTGGAACATAAGTTGCAGTCTAATTTTAAACACAAGGTAAGTTAGTGAGTAAAATCTCTGAAGTGTCTGACCACAAAACACTAGAAACACTTTAGGAAAGCAAGCATACATATTCTACAAAGTACAGTACTACTGATAAGAAACTTGTCTGGTATTTGATTAACCTGCCACTGCAATTAACAGCAATTGTTGACTACTGAAAACACTCAGGCCAAATCCTGTTACCCGCTTTTTAAGCATGTGCACAGGCACGTATCACATAGACACATCTCTTCACTAAAATGAAGATAATTATAAAACCTAACTTTGTTGAAGAGGAGGAATTAACACATGCATGCTGCTGAACCCTTGTAAGACCCCTGAACAAATCAACACTTGAGAGTCTGACTGTTCGTTTAGGAATGAAAAGACAAACTTCAGAGCTTAACTTTCAGCATGATTAACTGCATACACATGCAGATAATGACTTCAAATATTTGCATGGCTTTTGCAAAGCCAGCTTCCACCAGGGCCCATTCTCTATTCTCCATACTTGGTGCAAAATATTTTATTCCATAAACTGCAAATTGATTTACACACTACCAGCTACTGCCCCCAAGTACAAAATCTGACATTTATTTGAAAGTGTTTAATTAGAACCAGCACTTAAATCCTCCACACCAGATACTTCAGTTTAAAAACCCCCAAGTCTTCCCACAACAGCAAGCAAATATAGCTTGCATCCTGCCTAGATCTAACAACCAAAAGCTTACAACACAAACCATGCACATATTTAGCATCTCCTAATGGTGGGCTGACCCTGGCTGGCAGCTGAGTCCCACATAACCGCTCCTCCAATCTCCTCCCATCAGGATGGGAGGAGAAACTAGGAAAAGTGAAATAGCCAAAACAAAACTAAGTGATGCAAAATATTGACTCACTACCTTCCACAAGCAGACCAGCGCCCAGCCACTCCCCAAGCAATGACCAGCTACCCACCCGGGCCTTTCCCTCCCTTTTTACTCCTGACCATGATACTATACAGCATGGGATATCCCTCTGGCCAGTTGGGGTCAGCTGTCCTGGCTGTCCCCCTCCCATCCTCTTGCACACCCCAACCCACTCACAGGGTTAGAAACAGACACAGTCCCAACACTGCACAAACACTGTTCAGCAAGAGATAAAACAAGGGTGTGTTATCAACACTGTTCTGGTCAACAACTGAAGACATAGTACCATACTAGCTGCTATGAAGAAAACTTAATTATATTCCAGCCAGGTTCAGTATACTTCTCTTAAAAACACTGAGAAAAACCTAAATCTGGTATGCCCTTTTAATACAGACAAAGCAGATACAGTAACAGCTGACTAAGTCATAGGCGGAAGTTTAACTAGGCAACACTAGGACTACAATTCCCTCCTCTAGGCTTATAAAAACACTGTATCTGCCCCCAAACACAACAGCTATCCTTCTCTTCTACTTTTTCTTCTATTTCTTGACAATGCAAAACACTATGTAAAGCACTGTGTCACCTCAAATTAGGGAGCTGTATACTTTGAGGGATCTGCATCTGATCATTAATGTGGATGGATTACCAGAGTCATGTTTTGGGTGTTTAAACTTACCCTAGCTTTCTTTCAGATTGTTCTTTTCAGAACAGGCCTCTCACTTCTTTCACTTATCCAGGTGCAAACAATTTTCATGTAACAGACTATCTTGCAATAACGCCACATCAACATTTTCAGTGAGATAAAAGAAAAATTCACTCATTGCACTGTTCTCAGATTAAAAGGTACAAGTTCCTTTGTTTAGTCCTTAACATATAAACTGATGTCAGCCACAGGCTGCAGATGCTGCTAAAGCAGAAGTCCCATTCAAATATCCAGCACTGGCAAAGTAGATTAAGGCTTTCTAAGTCACAGAATCACAGAAGAGTTAGGGTTGGAAAGGATGTTAAGATCATCTAGTTCCAACCCCCCTGCCATGGGCAGGGACACCTCACACTAAACCATGTCACCCAAGGCTCTGTACAACTCAGCCTTGAACACTGTCACGAATGGACCATTCACAGCTTCCCTGGGCAACCCATTCCAGTGCCTCAGCACCCTCACAGTAAAGAACTTCCTCCTTATATCCAAGCTGTTCTTACAGCACTAATGAAGAGTCCCTCCCCAGCTTCAGATACTGGAAGGCTGCTATGAGGTCTCCACACAGCCTTCTCCAGGCTGAACAGCCCCAACTTTCTCAGCCTGTCTTCATAAAGGAGGTACTTCAGGCCGTGATCATTCTCATGGCCTCCTCTGCACTTGTTCCAACAGTTCTATGTCCTTTTTATGTTGAGGACACCAGAACTGCACACAATACTCCAAGTGAGGTCTCACGAGAGCAGAGCAGAGGGGCAGGATCACCTCCTTCAACCTGCTGCTGGTCACGCTCCTTTTGATGCAGTCCACGATACGGTTGGCTTTCTGGGCTGCGAGCACACACTGAAGCCAGCTCATGGTAAGTTTCTCACTGATCAACACCCTCAAGTCCTTCTCTGCAGGGCCACTCTGAATCTCTTCTTTGCCCAACCTGTAGCTGTGCCTGGGATTGCTCCGACCCAGGTGTAGGACCTTGCACTTGTCGTGGTTAAACTTCACAAGGTTGTCATCAGCCCACTTCACAAGCGTGTCAAGGTCCCTCTGGACAGCATCCCTTTCTCTCCAGCGTACCAACCGAACCACACAGCTTGCTGTCATCGGCAAACTTGCTGAGCGCGCACTCAATCCCACTGTCCATGTCACTGACAAAGATGTTAAACAAGACCAGTCGCAACACCGATCCCTGAGGGACACCAGTCGTTACTGGTCTCCAGCTGGACATTGAGCCATTGACCACAACTCTTTGCATGCGGCCATCCAGCCAGTTCTTTATCCACCGAGTGAAAGTGATAAGTGATTGATACTGATCAGGATTGAGTATCTACCTGGCATTTATAACCCAGCCTTCTCTACTGTTCAGCACAGACATACTGAAATGCCAACGCAATACCTGTGGCATGCTCCTTTTGAGGTAGAGACTCATTGTGTCTGAACGTGGAAGCGCTCACATGAAATCAAACATCTACTGAAGTAAAAAATGGAAATGTGATGTGTTGTGTTGCACAAGAATGACTGGCTAAACAGAAACCTTGTGGTACAGTCCATGTACAAAAGGCATCCAGCCTGGCAGTTAAGGGCTTTGTAAATAATAGAACATGATGCTATCTAGTAAGACCATAAGGGCAGATGACTAGGAAGAATATAGCAGTAAGCAGCTTACAAGTGGTTAGAAGAATATCAGCAACAGACTAATTTCCCAGTGGGATGAGCAAATCCTGTAACATCCACAAATAATAAAACGGCTATGAGTGTAACACGTCTCCAGTTACAGAGATCTTGCTTACAGGCCGTACAATGTTATCTTAACAGTCCATCACAAATAAGGGGGGTAGGAGTATAACAGAGAAAAAAAAAATAATAAAAAAAAAAGGTTGAAATTCAGTAGCTTAGTATAGCATATAGCGGGGAGGTGAGAAAGACTTGACATGCGTAATACTGGTTTGCACACAGACTTAACAGCTCAGTCACAGTACCACACACCTGTGTGTTCCCAGCCTTATATAGAGTGTATATAGAGGAAGAGAACAGTAGTACACCATTTTATGTGTAACCTTCAATTTTTATATCTGAAAAGCATATAGGAAATCATTCTGCTATAATGTGTTATGAATATTTCTGGAAGAAAATACATTACTGAAATTGATCTAAAACCTGTTTGCAAGCCAATAAAAATGCAGTTAAAAGTGACGCATAAGTTGACCATTATTTTTTTTCTTTCTTTACTCAGTTAAGAGACAACAAATTGAGAATGTTATCTGCGCAGAAGAAACAAAGCCACACATTTACCCCAGACTACCTTCCTTTTCCCCCAGTAACGCAACACAGGAGTGACTATGTGTTATAGTAACTATTTACTCTGTGAGTAACAGTCGTTCTTGAATATACTGACTGCAACATTCAGCCTGTTCAATTCAGCCTTGCAAAGAAGACCTGTTACATGTAGCTTAACTAACTGAGGTAAATGATGCAGTACCTGCACTAGTTGAGGATCAAACAACACTTGAAATAATACCAATTAGTCTTCAGTTCCATGATGATTTCCATTCCAGCAAGTAGCAGCAATACCTTCTTATATGTAATTTTTTAAATTTTATTTCTTTTAATAAAAGCAGCTTGGATAGGGCTATAGGGAG